CGCATTGCTGAGCCCACCTGCTCACTGTAGCCCAAGGTAAGCAGTAGAACAAGGGCCCTAGGACCTGTGTAGAAGAAACGAGCTCACTGCGCTCACCATGCTCCCCCGCCCTCACACCAAACTCCTAGCTCTACAAGGATATTATTTATGTATTTATTTATTTATTAATCTATTTATTTACTTATTTATTTATAAATATTAGTATTTATTGCCGAGTTGTGCACTTTGTGGCAGAGTGAGGGGGCCCTGGCAGCCCGAGCCAGGTCTCTCTTGCTCCCTCCCTGATTATGCCTTTCCCTTTTGTGCTCCTTCTGCAACTCCAGGGGTGTGTGTGATCTTTACTCTCCACACCCACATCCCTTCCTCAGATTCATCTGTTCTGACACCTTAGTCCTCTGGGATGGAGCCTCTCCCCTAGCTCCAGGGTTCCTGGATTCTTCCTCAGCTCCCTCCATCTCCAGACAATCCCACCCCAGTACCGCTTGCCTCTTTTCTCGCTCCAGTCCTCCCCCATGACTCTCACTTCTTCCTAATACCCCCAAGAGTGGGCCCCAGGGGTCTGTGTCCTGTGTGTGATTCCCTCTTGTTTGCATTTCTGACTTCATACAAAAAGAAAAATTAAAGTGACCTCATTCTAGCACCAGGTATGGCTTGGATCATTTGATTGGGCTGGGAAGGTGGCCTGCGGTTATGGTAGGGTGGACACTGAGGGTTCTAGGCTTTGATGGCTCTTCTGATGGGATCGTGAGAGCTCAGTCTGGTGGGTAAATGAAGACAGAGAGAAGGGGCCACAGAGTAAAGAGGTGCAGGGGGGGTTATAACACACAGGTCTCAGACCTCCCTACCTAAAGTCCCATGTAACCCTAACTTGGCACTCACGGAGTGACACTTTCTGACCTCTCTGATGTGCTTCTGTTCCTGCTCTCTATGGGCCTGAGAAGGCGCTGAATGTTCCAGTGGAACCCAAATTAAACATATGTCTGTGGGTCCAACACTGCTGGGAAATACCATGGAATGAAACATTGCCTTCCCCAGTATTTTCTCTAAGCTGGGTCAAAATTCCTTGCAATCTCAATTCTTGGCCCATTTTGTGTTCTCTGACCTTAAGATACTGGGAGAACACAATGGAGGACCTAGGACTAAGAGAGGAATAAGGAAAGAGATAAAAAGGAGTGCTGAAGGAATAGCAAAGGAATCCTGAAGGGGACCTAAAATCAATTTATAGATGAAGAAACTAAAGCCAGAGAGAAGGGCTTTGCCCAAGGTCACACAGCTAGTTGTGGGCATAAATAAAGTTCAAATCTAGGTTCTTCATGTTCTGTATTGCCAAGGCCCCTCTGCCTCCCTGAAATGTCTTGGCCTGACAGGTGGCTCTGTATGGACCCCATATTTTAACGGAACATTTATAAACTAGAGTAGTCAGAGTTGTGTGGCCAAGAAGACTAAAGACCTGGGGACGACTTCGCAGAAAGAATAATTGAAAAGCTGAGGATATGTGTCTTTATAAGAGTAGATTTAAGGGCACTGTGATACCCATCTTCAAATATTGAAAGAATAAACAAAACAGACATTCTATGTGGCCCCAGAAGTCAGAACCAGGACCAATAGGTGGAAGTTTCAGGAAGCAGATTTTAACTCCAAGAAAAACTTTTCAACACCTGGAACTGTCCTGCAATGGAAGGGCCAGCCTTAAGGAGAACAGGCCAGAGCCTCACCCACCTGCAGTGATACCAGGGAGCACAGTCCTGCCTAGGTGGTCACCAAAACCCTTTCCAAACTTAAGGACACCTGAAAAGGCTGAATGCAGACAGTGGGAAGAAAATTCTGAGATGCCCTTCAGTCTCTGAATCTGTGATGAGCACAGAATGCCATGGGCAGCAAGAGAGGTTTGAGTTAGACTTAGGGAGAGAGTTGGTATCTTTCCTTCCCCATTTGAATTAGATTGAAATGTGCTCTTCTCAGAGCATGGCAAGAGGGAGGGCTGAACTAAAGCTAGGGAGAATCTGGGGATTACAAGTGTCAAGAGTTGGAAGGGAGTACAGAAAGTATTGAATCCAACACTTTTGTTGTAAAGGCTGACCACAAGGGTGATGGGACTCACACATGATGGTGGATGCGGACTAGAGCCTGTGTCTTCCATTCCTGCTCCCAAGTGCTTTGTGCCTTTCCCTGTGCAACAGCCACAGTCCTCTGAGCTCCCTTTCTCTTCACTTTGCCTGGAGGGAAAGCAGAAGGGGTTACTGGGCTCCTCCCCTCAGGGATCCCTCAGGGCCTGGGGGTGGCGCGAAGGGGCAGCTGCAGCTGTTCTACTGCTAGCTCTGAATTTCTTCATATAATCAATTGGCCTCGCTGCTGCTGGGTTCCAACAGGACAGGCAAGGAAGGAGGTGGGGAGTGGAAGGGGGAGGGGGGAGAGGACCAGGCGCTGGGAGAGGAGACTGTCAGGGGCAAGGAGTCCCCAGCTGAGGGCTGAGGGGTAAGTGAGAGGAAAGGAAGGCTAGAAGAGCACCTGGCTTGACGCCCTCATTTCACATCCTCCAAATTGCAGCAAGTGGGCCAGTGGGATGGGGGAGGGGTAGTTTGGGGGCACCGGGCGAGGGGGGCTGCGGCACCTCATCTCTCCCTTCCTCCTCCAACCCCCTTCCATCAGGCCATAGCTGTCCATGGCTCCTTCCATCCCTCGTTATTACAGATCCTGACTCTCCAAGTCCTGTCTGTCATAATTGCTCCCCTCTGCCCTCTTTCTCAGCAAACCCCACCCCCAGTGACAGCAAGACCTCAGGGATTTGAGAGAGGTATTGGTAGTGGTGGTGGGGACTCTTAGCCAATCCTCCCCCACACCACCCACACCACCACACTCCCCACACCCCCTACACCCCCTACACACACACACACACACACACACACACACACAGACACACACACAGACACACACACAGACACACAGACACACACACAGACATACACACACAGACACACAGACACACAGACACACACACACACAGNCCCAGCCCCTGGTAACCACCATTCTACTTTCTGCTTTTATGAAGTTGACTAGATACCTCATATAAGTGGAATTATACAATGTGTCTTTTTGTGACTGACTTATTTCACTTAGCAGAATGACCTCAGTGTTCATCTGTGTGGCTAGCATGTGACAGGATTTCCTTCATTTTTAAGGCTGATAATATTCTATTGTATGTACACGCCACTCTTCCTTTATTCATTCATCAGTCAGTGGACTTTGGGTTGTTCCCATATCTTGGCAGTTGTGAATAATGCTGCAGTGAACATTGGGTGGCAGATATCTTTTCGAGGTCCTGACTGCAATTCTTTTATTTCCCCCCAATTTTAATTATTTTGGATATATACCTCTATACCGTTTTCCGTAGTGGTTGCACAATTTCATAGTCCCACCAACAGGGTATAAGTGTCCCAATTTCTCCATATCCCCAACACTTGTTATTTTCTGTGCTTTTGAAAGCATCTATCCTAATGGGTATGAGGTGATATCTCATTGTGGTTTTGATTTGCATCTCTCTAATGATTAACGATGTTAACCTTTTTTTTAAGTTTATTGGCCATTTGTATATCACCTTTGGAGAAATGTATATTCAAGTTCTTTGCCCATTTTTTAATAGTCATTTAATCTTTTGTTCACTTGTAGTTTTTTATAATATTCTGGATTTCAACCTCTTATCAAATATACAAGGTCTGGCAATTAAGTTCGCGAACTTATTCAATGATGTTGTTAAACTTTTTTGATATCAGAGGGATTATTCATTATGAATTTTCCAACTGGACAGTTAACCAAGTTTACTATTTGGAAGTGCTGAAAAGGCTGTGTGAAAAAGTTAGACGACCTGAACTTTTTGCCAACAATTCATGGCTCTTGCATTACGACAATGCACCAGCTCACACGGCACTGTCTATGAGGGAGTTTTTAGCCAGTAAACAAGTAACTGTATTGGAACACCCTCCCTACTCACCTGATCTGGCCCCCAGTGACTTCTTTCTTTACCCGAAGGTAAAGGAAATATTGAAAGGAAGACATTTTGGTGACATTCAGGACATCAAGGATAATACAACAGCTCTGATAGCCATTCCAGAAAAAGAGTTCCAAAATTGCTTTGAAGGGTGGACTAGGTGTTAGCGTCGGTGCATAGCTTCCCAAGGGGAGTACTTCGAAGGTGACTGTAGTGATATTCAGCAATGAGGTATATAGCACTTTTTCTAGGATGACCTAATTGTCAGGTCTCATACGATTTGCAAATATTTTCTCCCATTCTGTAGGTGGCCTTTTCACTCTGTTGACTGTGTCCTTTGATGCACAAATATTAAGTTTGATGTAGTCCCGTTTGTCTATTTTTGCTTTTGTTGCCTGTGCTTTTGGTGTCATATCCAACAAATAAATGCCAAGTCCCATGTCATGAAGCTTTTCCCCTGTGTTTTCTTCTAGGAGCTGTATAGTTTTAGGTCTTTAATCCTCCTTGCTCAGTTTTATCCTGCCTCATGTCCTCCTTATCACTTCTTCCCTGTTGCTCACTTTCTGGATTCTCTTTCTTCTTACCGTCTTTCCTTCTACTCCTTTACAAGGGTCCACCTGCCTATCTCTCCTGCTGCCCCCTCTTCCCCCACACTTACAGTACCTCCCCCCTCCCAGCCCATCTCACACCTTCCTTATGCTCTCCCCATCTCGGAGCTCTCCCTTCTTCCTCCCTATCAATTCCCCTTTCTCTCTTTCAGGCTCTCAGCTGGAACCCTGACCATGGAACCCTGAAGTGGCTCTGACTTCTCAAGCTCAGTGGCAGACCCCAACACCCCAGACCCTTCCTGTCCCTCCCACAACCAGCTTTCAGGCTCCCAGAGGGAGGGGTGGGGAGGGGATTCTGATCTCACAGGGAAGGGGGCTTCCATCATGATGCTCAACTCAGACACCATGGAGCTGGACCTGCCTCCCACCCACTCTGAGACGGAGTCAGGCTTCAGTGACTGTGGGGGCAGTGCAGGCCCTGACGGGGCTGGGCCCGGGGGTGTGGGCGGGGGCGGGGGCCAGGCCCGGGGCCTGGAGCCTGGCGAGCCTGGCCGAAAAGACCTTCAGCACTTGAGCCGGGAGGAGCGGCGGCGCCGGCGCAGGGCCACAGCCAAGTACCGCACGGCCCATGCCACGCGGGAGCGAATCCGTGTGGAGGCCTTCAACCTGGCCTTCGCAGAGCTGCGCAAGCTGCTGCCCACACTGCCCCCAGACAAGAAGCTCTCCAAGATTGAGATCCTGCGCCTGGCCATCTGCTACATCTCCTATCTGAACCACGTGCTGGATGTCTGAAGGCGTCCTGGATGTGCCCCTCCTCCCCTGGCCTCTCTAGGTCTCCTCTCTGAGGCCCGCTGCCTAGAACAGCCATCTCCTCCCCAGCCCTGTACCCTGGCATGGAGTCCCCCAGCCCTGGGCACAGGCAGAGTGCCCTCCCCTCTCCACTTGTCATGAAGGCTACTTTCTATTACTGATCCAGGCACCCTAGGGCTGCTCTCATGGGCACCTCCTACAGTTCGAGGTTGGGGTCCAGCTGGTTAGAAGTGTCTGCTTGGGAGGTTGGTATACAGTCCTTGTTGGATTTACTAAGCCAGCCACACATGGGTCCCGACTAGCTCTCTCATGGGCTGCTTGCCTCTTCTACCCCACGTCCACATTTTCAAAGATCCCAGACCCACCCCCTTTTGTCTCCCATCCTTTCCTCCCGGTTCCAGCCTTTCCTGCCCATGGTAGGGAGGGGGCATCAGAACGGGAAGGGGGGAGCCTGGGCTCAGAGCGGGGTGAGCTTCTTCCTCAGAGATCTCAGTCTAGCTTGGCAGAGGGTTCTGGGGAGGAGGGGCCCGGTGAGATGCCGCCTGTGAGGGGAATCTCAGTAGCCAAAATTACGGCAAAATTACTGTTTTCTATTTTGTTCCTGAGACTTAGCACATGCAGACCTTGGATCTTGCTTGGTAGTGAGTGCCTTGCCCTCTCTGAGCTATTTTGGCTTCTGCCTGCTGCCTCCCACCCCCGACCACCCCAACTTTCTCCCTCCCTGGGTGCAGCTAGAGAAGGGGAAACCTAGATCCTGGGGAAGGGGATGATGTCCCCAAACTCAGCCGAGGGAATGGGTGGGCCAAATCTCACATCTGCCTCCTCCATCCCAGCCCACCAGAAAAATGTGCAAACCCACACCCCCAGTTCCTGCCTCAGATGCAGGGTGTGCCCCATCATTGCCGCCTGGGACTGCTCAACTCTCCAGGCGCTAAGGCCTGTTTATTATATTTTTTCTCCTACCTTAAGCTGGCTTCAGCAAGGGAAGAGACCCCCGCCCACTCCACCGCCAGGGTTTCTGCCCCCT